TCTTTATCAATACTAAAATAATCTTTTTTTTACCAATCAAAAACTCATAAAATCAATTTTTCACCAAATTAGGTTTAGGTTTCATTTTTATCAAAAATTAACTTAATTAGTTTAATTTAATTTTATAGTAATTTTAATCTTCTTGCAAATAAAATAAATTAGAAAATTAGGGTCCTTGATTTAATTTCTTTCTTTTTATTATTTATTTTATTTTTTTAAAATAACCAAAATACAAAAATTGGTCAAAATTAATTATTTTCCTTAATTTAATTAATTAGTAATTAGGTTTGTACTTATTTAATTTAAAAAAAAACTTATTTTCTGAAAATATTCAAAAATAACCATCAAAAGTGATCTTTCTTTTAATTAGGTTAGACGGGGTCAAAACCCTAAGTTTTTCTCGTTCTCGTTTCATCGCGCGCATTTATTTATTTGCACAATATTAATTTAATTGCTCATGGGATGTAATAGTTTAATTAGGACTTTTTCGCTTATTTATCGTTTTTTTTTGCGGGTTTTTGGCTATGTAATTAATTCCCCTCCCCAAAGCCTTGTAATAGCGTAGTTTTATTTTTCGTATTTTAATTTTTGTAAATATTAACTGTTAGATGTATGTTAATAGGATTACATGACAAGAATGTATGTTAATTTTAAAACGGTTAGCAAACCCTAAATGTGCAAAGATATTAACTTGAAATTGAATCACTCGCACATGCGTACTCCTAGGGTATACTCTCACTTCGGTTGCCTTCGGTAAACAATCATTAAGTATAGGGTTTTTAGTGGTCGCTCTTTTGTCTAAATAAAGATCAAATGTCCCATTCGGAAATATTGCCTCGAAAAGGTTGCCTCGGAAGTATTGTCTCGAATATGATCTTAAGACATTGGGGTTATTACTAAGACGTCCTAACATTGCTTTAGTGATCGTATGTCCCTTTCAATTGACCCTTACAATTCCAACGACGGTGCTACCTACTCATTAATAGTGGGATAGTGTCATCTAAAGGAAACAAGAACAAAAAATATTCTTTTTTCGAGTAGGTAGATGCTAATAGGTACTTGCTCATAATAAACTTTTCACACCATACACTTTTCAAACAAAGTTTTCAAAAACACTTCATAACACTCTTGAAGACAGAAGCAAGGGTTAAATCGAAGTAAAACAAAAACTTTTCAAACACACAAACACGGAAGCAATTTTCAAAATGATGAGCAAGTACCTAAGAGCACATGGAAAACCATGGATAGAAAGGGTGCTAACACCTTCCCTTTCTATAATCTAACCCCCGTACTCAAAATCTCGAAAAAAGGATTTTTTTTTGTGCTTTTTTCCTTTCCAATTGGATAAAATAAAAGTCAGTGGCGACTCTTGCTTACCGCGACATTTTACGAACAAAAAACGCAAAACGCAAACCAGTATTAAACAGTCGGTTCTGCCACCGTATCACAGTGATTTATTAGTTATCTCTCAAATTCATGGTGGGGCATAACCTTAAGTTGTTTTTAAAAAAGTGTTAGACAACGGAAAGTTATCTAGACGGGGTGAATAGATAATCAATTCAAAATATAGTTTAAAAATAGTTTTTACATCAAGTTAAAAACAATGGTGAGCAGAAGTTGTATCCTAGATCTCGAGTCATCCAAACTGAACCGGTTATTAGAGGCTTAGATATGCGAATTATATCAATGATATGGAAATGATGATAAGTGATTAAAACCATAAATTCTCAATTAATAGATTCCCAACAACAACCAAGCAAACCAATATCCAGTGAAATATTTGATAAAGCCAATTGAAACTATTTATCGAACACTTGGTGTGCACTTAACTTTTCAGATTTTCCTTTGAACTTTGTTGATATGATTTAATTCTTACAATCAAAAAGTGATTGCAATATGATCAACAAAGTGCTTAAACAATCAAATGATGTTTCTATACGAATTAAATGCACAATCATAGAGTTTAACAAATTGCTTAATTTTTAATGAAATTAATGGTGAAGCTTATTAAGACAATTTATCGAACACTTAGTATGCACTTTGACTTTCCAAAATTTCCTTTGAACTTTGTTGGTATTAAAACCTCTTACAATCAAAGAGATTGTAAAATCATCAACAAAGTTATTTGAACACTCAAAAGATCTTTCTATACTAATCAATTTGCACAATCAAATGGTTAATAAATTGAAAATGAAGTTCTAAAGAGATAGAGAGAGATAGAGAGGGAGAGAGAGAACGACATGAGGATTTGTTTAGAAAGTTCACCGATCATCCTTTCTATGGTTAATCTCCCTTCATTTCCATTTTAGAATTGAGATAATTTCTTACTTATTGTAAAAGTATTCTCTACAAGAGAAGTGTTTCAAGAGTAACTCTTACAAATCATAATTGTTTGTTGTTGATTCAACCCCTTCTCTTCTTTTGATCTACACTGAGACTAAGAACACAATAGATTTCCAATTGATTTTTTAAATCTTGATACTCCTTTGTGTACTTTATCTCCAAAGCTTTCACGCACGATCAATTGCAATTGTTGCACCCCTAACAAATCAATCTGATCCACCGTCTCACGCTACTAAGTTAAAGGAAATCCGTCTTCAATGTTCACTCGGCCGAATCCGAATTGCGAATTTTTTAACCTAAGATCTACCAATTTAATTCACCGTCTCATGCTACTAGGCTTGCAAGAACCACTCGTTCTTCAAGGTCTTCACTCGATCGAATTTAAATTGTGTAGCCTTGTCTAAAACCTTCAAATCACCATGATCTTGATGGAAAACCCCAGCACGACTGTCTTATTGAAATAACCCCCAAATCCTCAATGATCTTGGAGGAAAAAGATGAAACCCCCTTGATTCTCAATCCAATCTTAGATTATAGCCAATCTAAATTAAATGTTATCAACTGAGTCTAGATGGCACCCAAACAATGAATGATTATGTGTACTTTGTTTGTGTGTATGCATAAGGTTAAGGTTGAAGATGAGGAGCAATCAAGTAAGTGTTTATAGTTTCACCAAGTTTAAAATGATGCATGTATGAAGTTTATATAGGTGTGAGACTTTTAGGCAAAAAGAAAGACCTAGAAACACAAAAGAAAACTGATTTTTGAAGTTTTGTACAGGATGTGTCGACACATGTAAGTTATGTGTCGACAAATGCACGACAGAAATTGCCACATATGTCGACCTATAGCAGGTCATGAGTCAACACATACTTCTAGAGACTTACAGGTTTTAAAACAACACATGAGTCGACACGAAACTCGTATATGTCGACACATAAAGTAGTTTAGAGGCATGTATCGACACGAACAAAAGGATGAGTCGACACGTACTTACAGAGACTTATATGTTTTAAAACAACAACACATGTGCCGACACAAAATTTGTATGTGTTGACACATGCACGTGAATTTTGTACAAAAATTGATTTTTTATTTATGAGACCAATGGATAACCAAACCAAACTTATTCTATATACTTCTTAAGATTCCTAATGACTTCTAATACAAGGATACACACAGATACTCAGAGATACCATTCAATATACAAAAAAGCTAAATCAATTTTTAATTTTGACATCATGCAAAACATCTATCACAGAAATGCATACACAAAATCTTCTTATATTATTTTTTAAGATTATTTAAATAAATCTAATATATATTTAATTAAAAAAGAAGAGAGATTATGGAAACTAGGAGAAAAGAAAATGTATATATGATTTTTCGTAAATATTAATTTTTTTTATTTAAATAATTTAAATAATTTTTTAAAATATATCATTTAAATAATATATAATATTATCTTCTTAAAAAATTAATAATTTATAACTTATTTACTGTAATATATTAAGAAAACACAAAATATTCTCTCGCTCTCACACACAAATTTAAATAATGAAAATTGGATGGAAAAGTTTAAGCAGTCCCCAGAAAAGAGAATTTAATTATTAAAAGTAAAAAAATTGCAATTGGGCAGTAGGATTAACTATGAGAGAATTGAATATTTTTGAAGAATATGAAGTGCACTCACATCAAAAAGTATCTTAATTAATGGTTTAATTTACAATGTTAAAAGACCAGTTATTAAATATTTATTTAAAATAATTTGATATATCAGGACATTTTTAAAAAAATCTAATATTTAAAATAAGAACGCTTTTTGACATTTGATTACATTAAATATTTGTTTTTTAAAAATATTATAGTAATTATTTAAATAATGTTTATATAGTATTTATAAATCCATATAAAATAAAATATACATTTCCAGTTGATTGAAAATTCCAAATGGTTGCTCATATTAAACAACTTGCCTATATTATCAGTGAGTTTAATCTGAACTTGCCTAAAATTTTTGGCATTATATTAACTTTCGAATTAATCAAACCTTTTTTAATTAAAATTAATTGTACTACTAAACATAAGCCTCAAATAGAAAAATGGTCAACATCATGATCATCAATATTCCCCAAATATATTATAAGTACACCACAATTTTGTTCTCTTTCTTTTCAGTTAATATTGTTCTTTCCAGCAAAATACACAGATACTGAAGACAATCACATAGCTTCTGATTTCTCAATCTTACATAAAACATCAAACCTCAATAGGGAAATTTTTTATTAATAATTTATTCAGTAGGACACATTGACTCAACTGTTAGTGCCAAAACAGGTAAAATTTATTACTTTTTCCACATTTCAATAAACATTTACAAACAGACAGAAGAAGGATATTAAATTAATACACATAAAAAACAGAGTAGATTAATAAAATATAAAAGAAACAGAAAATCATGCCATGGCCCCTTATAAAAAAAAATCACAAAGGGACTAGAATCTAAAAAAGTGAAGAAGATGACATTAATAATTATAGATATATAGATATATCTATAATTATATCAATCAATCAAAGAAGATAAAACAAAAACAAAAGCATTCACAAAAAAAAGACAAGAACATAGAAAGAGAAAGAAAAGGAAGAAAACAAATAACCTAGTAGTTCCAGAGAAAACTCTCGAAATTAGTTACAACACCATTATTGTTACCAAATTCATCATTATAATCAGCATCACCACAACAACCGTTTTCTTGTGGTGTTTGTAGCCATGTTATTGGTTGTTGATACATCCATGTAAAGTCTTGTGATTGTGAGTCAACAAAGAGAAACTCTTCTTTTGTAACATCATCATAACCGTTTTCTAGAGTAGGTAGCTCGATTATCTCGCTGAGTTCGTCAGAGGTTGTTGATAAGTCTGCTGATGAAGACAGTTTTGTTGCTGTCTTCATCAGCAGACTTGTCGATGATGACGATGACATCGTTGTCAGCGTCAGCGAAGATGACGACAACGATGACGAGTGTGAAAAAGAAGATGATGGTGATTCCAAATTGTTGGTCATTTGAGCTGCTTTAGCCGCCGCGGCCTGAACGTCGCGCGGGGCTAAAGAAGCGGGTTTAGGAAGAGAATCTGCGAGGTGAGGGAAATTGAGAATGGCGGATTTTCCTTTAACGCAGAGAGCTGCAGCGTCGTGGGCTCTGGCTGCCATTTCGGCTGTGGGGAAAGTGCCGAGCCAAATCCGCGACTTCTTGCGAGGCTCGCGGATTTCGGACACCCACTTTCCCCAATTTCTCATGCGAACGCCTCGGTAGACGGGGTGTTTGTTGGAGTCGCGGTTGCGTTTAAGGTTGTTGATGTTGTTGTTGGAATCTTGGTCTTGAATTGAGTTTGAATTTGTTGTTGATGGTGATGAATTTGAGGTGCTCTCGGTTTCTGAGTTTTGTGATGAAACTCTCATTGTTGTTAAAGTTTTGAAGAAAATTTGTGGAAATTGGAAAGAGAGAAAAGAAGAAGAAAGATATTAAGGAGGCATGCAATGCAAGTGAGGAAATTGATCTGCTATATATGCATTTATTATTTTTATTTTATATTTTATTATATTTTTTGGTCAGTTTTCAATGAGTCATAAATCACTTAAGAAAAGTTTAAGAAGGACCCTACAAGAGAAATGGGTCACCCTGCAATGCAAGGGTCACTCCCCTCCTTCCGTTCTTTGTGCCACGCAAATTTCCTTTTGGTTTTTGCTATGTACATAATACACTGTTCACTATGTCATATCGGTCTGGTAAAAGTTTCATACTACATGACATATGTGTGCATCATGATTTTTGGTTAAGGATGAAGTGTGACAAATTCATTTTCAAATGAATGCTTAGTTAGTTTGATAATTAAGTCTCGAATGAGTTAATTAGCGACCTTAATGAATTGTGCAAGTTTTTATAAAGTGTGTGTAGTGTTTGACTTTAAAATCAATTTTGAAGAATTCGTGAAAATGTATTGCATTTGGCATAAATGTAAGGATATTTGAGCGTAGTAGTGTATTATTAGAATTTAGGTAAGTGTATGACATAAAATAAAATAAAGAAATAACGACGTTGATATATAATTGATATATGGTATCAGATACCGTGTTAAATATTGAGTGTTCAAATAACACTCATCTAAATATAATGTAACCTTATAAAGCACATTACACTCCTCCTTACACCTTTGAAAGGTATTTTTAACTCTTTTCTTAGTATGAGTGACAAATATGAGACGTACGAGAGAGATATCGAGAAAAGTGGAGAAATCTTAATGAAAGAAATTTAGAGAGGAAAATGAAGATATTCTTAGGGTTAAAGATTAAAAATTGAAAGATCTTTGGAGGTATCTAAGAAGACTAAGAAACACTTTTAAACGTCTCTGACTTGTATGATTTATATAGTGAATTTGAGAGTTGCTCTCCGCCTCAGATAAAGATATAATGGACTGCTTGTGCATTGTTAGGAGTTAGTTTGCCAAAGAGTTTTTGGAATAAGGTCAGACTTATACCGTTTATTTGAGGAGGAAACTTTCATTCACAAAAGAGACTTCAAGACACCTAAGGAGGTATCGAGTCAAAAACATGTAAACTATTCTAATTTGAAAGTCTTCAAAGCTTTGTTGTTGCACACATCAAGTTAGTCCAACTTAATAACACGTTCGTGAAGTGTGTTTTTATTGACTATATAGAAGGCAAGTAAGATTACAATTTGTGAAATATGTAATCTAGAAGAACAAAGTTCGTAATAAGAAGGCATGTTACTTTTAGTGAGACATGTAACGTGGGAAGATATGTTAATTCAAACTCTCCTTCGGTTTGGATTATCTCACAACAAATGTAATAATTCTTTGTTTGTATACTCTCATTAAGGTGTGACACTGTATGCACTTATGTATGTTGATGACATACTCATCACGGTCTCATCTTATAATTTAGTCTATAATCTAATTAACAACCCAAATGTTACACTTTCACTTAAGAAAATTGACACACTTCTTACTTAGCAAAGGTTAGAGGTAAGGTCTCTGTCAAATGAATTTAATCTTCTTGCTTAGTCTATATACATAAAGGATCAATTAGCTAGAGCAAATATGTTTTGTACAAAAGGAGTTCTTACACCTATGTTAAGTAAGTGCAAGTAAAGAAAACATAGTTCTGTTTCATTTCTATATTCAAAGATTTACAAATCCATTATATATGTTCTTCAATATGTCACCTTGACCATGCCATAAAAACCTTTTCGTGTAAACAAATCACTCCAATTTATGTCCACTCCCCTTGACATTAATTGTTCTGTTGTGAAAATAATATTGATGTATCTTCGTGGAACTCTATCTAATGGTTTGATTTTATCTTCCTCTCACTCAACTAATAAATTATCTCTAAGAGCCGACATTGATTCTAATTGAGCTAGTGATCCAGATGATTGAAGATCCATTTTTGGTTCATGCATTTATTTTATACCAAACCTTATATCATGAAGCTCTAAAATGAAACCTCTTGTTGCCAGGTTCAAAGTAGAAGCAGATTATATAACCTTAGTTGAAACCACCTCTTAACTATCGTGACTAGAATCTCTATTAACTGAGTTATGTATCCCTTTCTTTCCACATATGTTTTTATGTGACAATTTAAATGCAATACTTTTATCCCATAATTCGATTCTTCAGGCTCGCACCGAGCATATTGAACTTGACATTTACTTCGTACGTTAAAAGGTTATCTCTAAGAAGTTTCTCATTCAACATGTCTGTAGCACTGCTCAGATTACAAATACATTGACTAAATTGTTGAGAATTTATGCATTTCAAAAACTTAGGATCAAGCTCAAGGTCGTAACTTACAAGCCCCATTAAACTCGTGGGGGAGTATTAAAGCTAAGCCACTAGTATGATTTATGTATGGTGGCATAAATGTATTAGTGCTAAGTCATGAGTATAATTCATGTATGATTCCATAAGTATGTTAAGTAATTGGTGTGACATATGTATGTTTCTTAAGATTTTTTAAAGGAAAAATAAAATAAAATATAAAAAAGGAAGGAAGGGAAAACCCCAAATATAAAAATTCAAATATAAGACACAAGAAGTGCCAAAGGGCATCTACAACCCAAACAACATAAGAGAACAAAACCAAAAAGAAAAAAACACCTAAACAGGCCACCCAGGGCCACCAAAGTAAAGAAACCTCCTAAAATCAACCACCGCCATAGCTTCGTCCGAAAGCAAACCAAATTAGAACTCAGCAATTATTACTCCATTATCAACAAAACAAAGAACAACATGCGAAAATCAAAACTACTCCATACATCAAGAGAGGAACAGACCACTAGAACCATTATTGATTTAAGCACAAGATATAGATCTTGAGACAATCTGAAAAGAGAAAAGAGTTCATTGGTAACCTGCAAGAAAACCAAGTACAAACCAAAAAGATACTCTTATCATGCAACTCTTTCACGTTTGTTGAAACATCGAAGAAAAATTTATCATTACGCACAAACTAGATGGTTCAAACCATTGCTTGCCAGATCATAGAAACCCCCTCCAACCATAGCCATATCACCTAGAGAACGAATAAGCACAAAAAGATGATTAGGATCCATAAGAAGAACTAGTTGGAAGCCAAACAAACTAAAAATCTTATACCAAACACTAGAAGCAAGACTACAGGTGACAAAGAGATGGGACGCTGACTCAAGTCGATCATCACACAAGATGCAAGAGGTTGCCTCTAGATCAATAAAAATTTCCTCTTAAAGAGATTATCTATGGATAGGAACTGACTGACAGAACTTGTAAGAGAAAACCTTCATTTTGGAGAAGGCCTGACTGTCATAGATCCGGAGAAGAATTGAGAATTCTTTTTCGACTCAGGAATTAATATGAAGCACAAAACTTAACTGAAAATGATAAACAAATATTATATAAAAATATATCTTTCCTATTATGTCTCAAAATCTACTTATCTTTCTCCTCACTAAACCAAATCTATTCAAGAACCGAAAAGAAGTCAACAGCTAAAGGTTTCTCATTGTGTGCCACCATATAAATTCTATAAAAAAAAAACTACCATCCACCCACTTGCCTAATTTCCCCACTGGCCCATCCTAAACTTGAAAAATAGAAGTGAAAAAAAACCTATAAAAATTTAATTTTAAAAGAAGTATTCCAGTTTCAAGGGTTACTCTAGAAAGAAGTCTGAAGGGCTGACCCATCCTTTCTAATAGACCTTTCTCAAACCAATTATTTCATGAGGTCGATCCTAATATTAAACTAGAACCAATTATTTCACCAATGTAACACTGTTCATTTATCCCTTATCTTTGTGAATTTCAAGATTTAACCCTAGACATCCTTTTCCAATTTTCAACCTCATTACGTATCATTTCCGTTGCATTGTCTCCAATTTCACCTTTTTCCTATTGCAATATTTAATATTATATTTGTGTATCACACAATATGAGTATTATGTAACTTTTAATTAATTAATTCGTTGCATTTTGGAAGCAAGACTGGTGGGTGGATTTGAAAACGGTAACAATGACGTTCAATGATATCACTAAATAATATAATTAGTCTATCATTTATATATTCCAACCGTCGTACGTTAAGTCTTTATTTGTGTCTCTGTTTATTTTCATTACGTACAAGGATATTAAAACTCATGGATGAAAATTTAATAATTTAAGTGCGGTAATTAGTTAATATGAGATTGTAATTGATTATAGTTGATGGAAAAATATTTTTAGAATTTAGAAAAGTTGTTTTTGTATTGTGGTAATCCGTTATACTGGTTCTGTATTGTTTTTGGTGTTTCAATGGTAACTTGTTAATCGCTTTTTACGTGCATGAATTTTGACTTCTTTCTTTGTTGATTATATAAATGTTGGACATTACTTATATAAATGTTTTAACAATATCTCAATGTTAATGTCATTATTGATTTTCATCTCATCTGTCTCTCTCTTTCTCTCATTCTCTTCTTCTCTCACTATCTTCTTCCCCACGAGCACTAAACATCCATTGATTTACCAATTGTGTGATTGTATGATCTAACATTTGATATCAAAAATCTAGTTCGGATCCATAATCTATTATGCAAACATGAATACCATCTCCAATGATAGAGTCCCTACAAACCTACATCTCCTTGAAGTGAAGAATTACGATAATTGGTGCAAGAAAATGAAGATGTTGTTTGACTACCAAAATGTTCTTGAAGTGATCAAGAATGTGGTGAGTCCTCTTGTCGAATGTGCAACGGATGCGCAAAAGGCTACGTTCAAGGAAGAAAAGAAGAAAGATTATAAAGCATTGTTCTTGGTCCATCAATGTGTTGATGGTGACAACTTTGAGAAAATTGGTAATTGCGGGTCGGCAAAGGAAGCGTGGGAACTATTAGAAAAGGTATATGCAAGGGCTGATAAAGCA